CATTATTATTCATTAGTTAACCTAGATTGATCTGCGTATAGCCAAAGATGTGATTGAAGTTATTCAATTTGACTTAAAGAAGGGCCAAATTTGCACAATAATTTACTCGATTTAAATTTTTAAGTAATATCGAATATTCAAGTCTGCTTGAGAATAAATAAATACATTATTGGTGCCATTTGTGGGAAACAAAGTCTCGATCAGCACAGTCCTCAAATTTGTGAATTCAAGCATTTGCATCGTTTTCTGATGATACACATCATCAAACTACCGAAGGAACCTTTTTTACACATCTTAAAGATCGCTTTTGCGACATTCTTTGATCTGAAGGGAAAACCTTCACTCCATTCTCGAAAGGTAGTTCGCATCAATGTTTCGAGCACTATTGTAGTGGGTAGTCTTCTTGCATCTCATTCAGACATCACGTCTTTGACAACTTCTTTAGGCTAGGGGTTGGGGGTTGGGGGGTGGGCGTGTGGAACCTTTACTACGACCTCGAAAGGTCATTCACGTTAATGTACCAGACACGACTGTTATGGGGTAGTCATCCCACATTTCATTTGAATATCAAGTCTTCGAGAATTACTTCCAGACTAGGGGCAACAGTGGTCACTATGCTGGAGTTCTTTCTCCGCTAAACATCCGCTCTATCAAGAAACAGATCCCTTCAAAGTGTGATAGATTGGCTGCTTTACCGGCCTGTCGGGGCAATGCCTTATTGGATGACAATAAATTCAAAATCAGCAACTAGTAAGTCACCAAACACATTCTTGAGTATGGATGCAACCCTATTTCCAAGAAAAATTATGGTCCATTGCAACCTACTTCTAAGTATCGAGAAATGCAAAGCATCTCTAACACCTCATTTTGAGCATAATTAATCTAAGGGAGACTCGATTCAACATCTTCCATCACAAACTACAGTCTTCAAGAATAAGCTTCGATTAACAACCTCGAATAGTTCAAAAATTTTGGTGGATTCCCTCCGACCTCTTCCATAATAGTACGGATCCTCAAGTGAAAGTTTTGATATACAACCTCAAATAGGTCTTATATCCTTAGTGAATTCCTCATATAACTCTTTCCATTACAGGTTAATGTCGTCAAGTATCTCCTACTATACAACCTAGGATAGGTCTTATATCCTTCTTAGATTACTACTGACTTTTTGCACTATAGGTTGCAGTCATTAAGCAGACACACTCTAACTAAGCAACCTAAGAAAAGTCAAATATTCTTAACAATAACCAAGAAGCCAGGCAACCACATCTCAAAAGCAAATGCAGAAGCAACATCAAAATTTTTACTGCATCAACCAAGAGAAAAACATACAGATAAATACATCATCTTTGTGTACAAATATCACATCAGACAATTGAAATGCTATAAAAACCAACACACATTAATACAAATGCTACAAAAATTCAGTTCAATTTCAAAATTTTGGTACTTCTGTTGATCTTCAGAGGGATGAGGTTCTTCAGATATCTCCACAATGACCACAAGGGAATGATCCCATAAAGTACAATAGCAACATGGAAATGTCCTTTGGAATGTGTGATAGCCACATGGGAATCTCCACCAGAAAGTGCGACTGTCGTATGAGAAACTACTCTGGGATGCTTAATGTGTGGTGGGAAAACCCCAGCTTTTCTCTGTCTCATTTAGAATGCATGGCAGATTTCCTTAGATCTCAACATCACAACAGCACATGAATCTCCTTTGAAATGTATGACGGAAAAACTCCAGCTTTTCTTGGTCTCTTTCAGTGTGCAGTGCGAGGTTCCTCGCATGCCACCATCTTAGCAGCCCGAAAGAAGACTGTAAAAAAAGATCCTAAACCTGTCAGGCAAGAGTAGGGATAGCTTTTGGAACAACATTCTTCTACTTCTTCATGAAAGAAGATCGAAAAAAAAGAAGTCACGGGTCACTTGTTGGACAGGTTGGGTACAACTTTATTCTCCTTCTTCTTTTTTCTTTTGGCAAATCCCAGATCACCTGCTAGGCAGGGATGGGAACTCCACCCTCTTCTTCCTCTTTTCGGCCTATTTATAGGTTGGAGAAATAAGTAAAAAAAAGGAAAAAAATTAGGAAATCTAAAATTTTAAAATAAAAAGTAATTTTTCTTTTTACAAATAAGATTAAAAAGGGAAAAACATTCCTCAAAATGTTTGCCATAATTATCATAATTTAAATATGCTTTAATTACATTTCAAATCAACCTTTAAGATATATATATATATATATATATACATACATACTAACAAAAAAGACGACTATTTATTCTATCAAGACATGCTTTGAAATGACTCCATTAGGTATAGCAAGGCGATGATTTTGTTAGGGTGGTAGATTGATTCCAGAAACCTACAGAGAAGAAGAATAAGCATCTTCTAGCTAGGGAGATTGGTGCGAGAGCTAGAGCAAAATAGCAATAGTAGAATTGTCGCGGTGAGGGATTCCGTGATACACAGAATCAAGACCCCACATTCAAAAGACTAGTGAACCATCCCGATTTCTATCCTGATACTTTTAATTTTTTTCTTATTTTATTATTTTTAATTAGGGGTCTTTCAATTATGAGACTATTTATGCATGTACTTTGTTGTATTTGAGACATTTGCTTTATTTTGAGTAATTTAGGTATATATATATATATATGTCAGCATTAATCTCAAATTAATCCAACGGTCAAGCGAAAGGATGATGAATGGGATATCAACCAATCATAGGGCAGAAAAGTTCTCCAAAAGTAGCTCTAAGATCTAGTTATTCGAGGAGATTAAGATCAACCAAAAGCAAACAAATCGAACCATTGCGTGACAATAGAATGGAAGCCAACGAGGTAAATCAAGGGAAAACGATCGTCAGTAGCCACCGATCACCACTTCCCATACATATCGGATGAGCCCACTTATAATTTAATATATTTGATATATGTAATATACTAAAAACCCTTAGAAACTAATGTTTAGAGATAAAACCTATAATTCCAACATCCATACCTCCTGTCTATAAATAGGGGGTCACTTTTCAATAAAATGTTGTGTGTTTTTTGCTGTTCATTACTGTCTTTTTCCTTCTCTCTCTCTCTCTGTAACACACTATTTATTGGGTGTGATTACCATAAATTCTTATATTCAAAAGGATTTTAGGTGTGGTGAGTGAGGAACCATGCCTTCAATAAGAAGAGGAGCATAAAAAAAGATGAGACCAATCAGAGAGACATAGTGGAGGTAGGAAGCTCAAGGGAGTTCATAGAAGAATTATTGCAACGAGGACTACAAGACCTAAGAACCCAAATCATGAACCAGATGTCAAGATAATTTGCAGAGGTCCTTAGAGCTGTCATGGCTTAGGAGCAACCCCTATTTTAAGAGGATAAAGTGTTTCACGAGAACCACAGAATCCTCCTAGAGAGGGAGCACCCACAATGAGAGGAGACCGAACCATCTTCTGGAGAAAGCTAAAGATGTGTGTATCAGGACAGTGCCAGATCATCCCTAATGGTGGAAAGAGAATGATTTGGGCAAATTGAAGTTCTAAGACAACAAGAGAACACCTTCTCCCATCAAATTTCGGGAGCTGGACCTTTGGAGAAATTTAAACTCCCAGCTCTAGAATCATATAAGGCTTCTTTTGAATCTTCGATGTGTCTACTAAGGTTCTCTAACACTTTTAAATGTAGACTGATCATCACTACGTTGAGGCCATTGGTACAACTAAAATATATAGTCTTTAGGTACACATTTTTATATCTATTTATGAGATATTGCATTTTAATGAAAGATATTTGTGTATTTTTATTTTAGGTACAATCAAATGAATGAAAAATGGTGAAAGGAGTGAAAAAGAATCAAATTTGGAGCAAAAATGAAGAAGATGTGCAAAATTACTATGGCGCTTAAGCGCCCAGAGCTGGCGCTTACGCGCCAATAAAACCGAGTATATCTATTTATGAGATATTGCATTTTAATGAAAGATATTTGTGTATTTTTATTTTAGGTACAATCAAATGAATGAAAAATGGTGAAAGGAGTGAAAAAGAATCAAATTTGGAGCAAATTGAGTGTTTTTCTTTCAGGTACAATCAAATAGATGAGAAATTCTAAAAGAAGTGAAAAAGGGTCAAATTTGGAGCAAAAATGAGAAAGGTGCAAAAATGAACTACCCCGCCTAAGCGCCAAGTACCTCGCGCTTAAGCTCCAGAAGTAGTTACTTGATGATTCAATGAATTTGGATGATTTTTTGAAGAGATGTTTGAAGCAACCCTTGGTGAAAATGTGAGAAATAGTTAATGGATATGAAAATACATTCAATTAGCTTTTGAAAGGAGGCAACTCTTGGAAGATTCATTGAATGTGAACACAGTTTGAAGAGACACCAAGACACCTTTTAGAAAATTATAAAATGACTTACATTGGATTGAAAAGACTTCTTCCAGCCTTCCTCTCGGCGCAAGAGAGAGATTCCTACACGCCCTCAGAGCCACACCATCGATGATCTCTCATAGATTAATTAGGACATTTTATTGGAGAGAAGAGGGGAGTTGTAGTGTGTGAGTAGAGAGTATTGTACGAGGAAGAGAAGAGATTCAAATGAACTTCAAGAGTTTGGTGGAGAGGATTTGAGATAAGTTTTTATCTTTGTGACTACATTTGGTTTTAATTTAGACTTCTTCTTTGTTTACATGATTTCTACTTTTAAACTTAAGTGTGATTATTTTTTCTCCATGAATTCTGAATAGTTTTCTATATCT